ATATGAAATTTAAGTTTGCGAATATTTTATGTTCTCATCGCAGCAGTTGCGTAAATACAATATTAATTTTATTTACAGATAGTATAAATTATATAATATTACACAATCAATTTTCATCCAATAAAATTCGTTAAATCTTATTGTACACCCCCAGCGCAGGTTAAACATCTACACCTCCGGAACAAATATACATATCAGTAAACTGCTAAAAATTATTCGGCTAAATGTTGTAAGGGAAACATTTTTGGGGATCATTAATTTGTCACACAAACAGTCACACAATGATTTGCGGTGTATCATTAACGGATATGCATTTTTTTTTTCCAAATTATTTTGGCTATGCGGAAACGAAAATTGAATATTTCCTGTACATTATTGGCGTTCGTCTTTTTCACGTTCTTCCTCTTTTTCACGTTCTTCATAATAAACTTGAATGGGACTTATCAGATCAAAAAGAATTTTGTGGTGACGAACGACACGGCATTGTTGAAAGAGCTTAACACCACGATCAAGTCATTGGTGAATGAGCTTAGCACCAAGCCTACAAGCCTTACAAGATGGAAACGATGGCACTACTTAATAAACTATTTAAATCAAAATTGGGAAGTAAAGATATACATAACAGAAGGTGACTGGTATGCCAGCCAAGACCTGCAAAGGCTTAAATATAATAATGATGGAACCTTAGCGAACTGCGACATACCATGTGTTTGGAAAGAAAAACGTCTAAGATACTGGGTACCTTCCGAAGAACTCAAAACGGCCGACGCCCTCTTTTGCGTCAACAGACCAAATCTACCAATACGGAAAGGGTGGGAAGGACAGAAATTCATAAATTATAATCTGGAACCTGTACAGCATGATTTTGGGCGATTTGATATCCTTGTAACGTTTGAGGAATTTTCAGATGTACCCACAAGTTACATTCGAATGGACCACAACGAATGGCGAAGAAAAAAACCCTTCAACGTAACAAGCCTCTCCCCAAACTCAACATTCATCTCCTTCATCGCTTCTCACTGGACAGAATTCCGAGAAACTTGGATTCCAACTCTTCAAGCCCACGTTCCCGTCGCGTCCTTCGGCAAGGTCTATCCGAATACCCCTTGGGATTCGGAATGTATAAATTTTGAGTGGTTTGAAATGAAGAATTGCATCATATCTAAATATCCTTTTTACCTGGCCATTGAAAACTCCCAAGTACAAGATTACTCCACTGAAAAACTTTGGGACACGTTTAAATTAGGAGTCGTGCCTGTTATATGGGGAGCACCCAATACTCGCTCATACTTACCACATCCTAAATCCGCCATTTTTATCGATGATTTTCCGAATGTTGAGGAACTTGCAAATTACTTGAAATATTTGGTTGGGAATGAGACAGCATATTTGGAATATCATCAGTGGCGGACCATGAAGACATGGCCAGAGGAATTTGAGAAAAAGGCATATATGAGTATGTGGAATATGGAATGTAATGTTTGTAAAGAGGTTGCTAGGTTGAGGATTGTAAAAGGGTTAACTGATGAGATGTAATACGGTTTTCACGCAATAGATACGTGATAATAAATATACGAGTTTTTAAAACGCTTATTAACATGGCATAATGAATCAAGAGTCAGATAATGCTGAACTTAAGGCCAGAATTATATAAGAAATTGCCGGCTATTGGGAAAATCGATAAGCTTGATCGCATTTCATTGTAATCAAAAATATACCGATGGCACCTGATTAAAGTGTGACACAATTTATTTTTGGTATACTTATTGATATGGAATGCCTCTGTGTTTTGGTTTACTTAATTTTTTAATTTTTTTAAAAGTTTTCTAGAAATAAATATACATTTTAAAATTGTTAATTCGAAAACGTGCTAATTTATGTCGCACACGCCTACATGCAATCATTATAGATTTTGAGTTATACGATAATAATTAATATCGCGATGCAATTTAAACAAAAATCTTCCTGAGAAATCGGGAGTGAGCCTGTATATTACCTTATCTAATTATCGTCTTAACTGATATTTCTTAGCTTCTATCCATCGTCTAGGGGAATAATAAACATATTCCTTATATGGTGGGATTACTTTGGCTGGATTAATTATTCCAATATATTCTGAGTAACGTTTTCTAAATAAAGCATGAAACTCATCGCAAGCTATATCATACTCTTCTTGTGCCTCAGGATTAATTAGCATCTGATTATATGTAAGTATACCTAAGAATTTCTTTCTATCGGGAGTACCATCATTCCTCACCACCTCCCAAACTCGTTTTGCCAAAGATTCAGGTCTCTTCTTATAATCCCTGTAAGCTCGCTGGATAACTGTTGCATAGAAGTTTTTAAAGTCATAATTATAGTAGTATTTAGGAATCAAGAATCCCCAAGATCGCTTCATTGATCTTCCTGAACTTCTCGAAAAATACTTTATTAAAATAGTTATACAGTATATTGGAGGATCAAACCTGGAATAGGCAAATCAGGTTTTTCTTCATGTATATGAAGCATTTTATGCATAACGCCTTCGGCCAATTATACTAGACGATCATGCATGCAGATTATATAGCTATTCATTTCGCAAAAAAAAAATAAAATATGTTATACATTACGCCTTTAGCTAAATGTTCAGTGAAAAGCAATAGTCCATAATTAAGATATTTCTCAAAATCGGCCAGTTAAATGAATGTAATTTTTGCCCCATCTTTCAATCTTAATGCAGGCTGATTAAGATGGTTTATAGACAGTAGTAAGTTATTTTGTTTTGCATACCGAGATGAGATAAATATTTCGCTTGTATTACTTTTGCAATTTGATAATTGATAAGAAGTTGGTGAAACCATTTCTTGCCTTACAGGTGAAATATTAGCTGGCTCAAAATTTGGAGCACTTGGCATAATATTTTTTGCTATGGTTATTTTAACCTGCCTATATGTTTCATAGCTAGTTGAACGACCATCATAATTATACATTACTGATACCAATTTATCCTTTTCTGAATGTAGAGTAGATTGGGATGAAAGCTCTAACGGAAGATGCTTCATTTCAGCCTCTTCTTGTAATATATACTGTTTATATTGCCAGATCTGAAATTTTCTCCTATCAATAGCTTGGAGAATTTTTTTTCTTCTTACATGTTTGATTGGGTTAGCTTTGCTAACAATACATCTCTTTAAGTGGCCATCTCAATAGAGAAATTCACCTATAAGCCTTTCAGGAATGAATATTAGGAAGTCACACACATTACAATATATATAATTTGTTAGATTTCCATTAGGATAGAACCCTTTACCATCTTCATAAAACATTGCATACATGTGAATGTATCCATTCTTAGAAAATATTTCTGGATTTTCTTCAAGTATTTTTCTAAATGGATTATGAATACGAAAGCATCACATTTCTGGTGTTTCATTATCATATTTATATTGTAAAAGGTGTATTGCTTTTATTATTTCATTATATCTATCATCATGATCTGGGAATAATAGTAAGCATTACTGTCTAAATTCATCTTTATAAATATTTAAGCAATAAAATAGTTTTTTTTAATGATTTATATCATTTTAGTGATTTATAGTAATTTATAACAAGTATACTATAATAAATATCAGATTCATTTTTATTTGATTACAAGTATATCGGAAATTTATACTAATTTTATATTTACATGCATATGCACAGCATTTTTAACTAAATCAGTTTGTGGCATGACATATATTACATCACATGTATCATCCTAGATCTCTGCCAGTTCCTCGATAGTTCTAGAAGAGTTTTAGACGCTGGTGAGTTTCTATAAATCATGAGATAATCATCTAATGAGATTCCACTCTCCTTGATCTTGAGCTAAGCCACCATTATTATTTGATTAATTATTCTTCCTCCAGTCTTTTGCATCACTAACTCGTTTTATAATTTTTTAGCCACGAACTGGTATTTCATTTTACATAGTACTGAGGATATCTATTGTACGAGCAAGACTGAGTATCGCATCTCTCTGACTGAAGATACACTTAGGGACTTAATAAGAACGTGAAGAGAATTTTAGAAGTTATAGCAGGCTTGTTAAAGGATAGGGTAACAGTTAGTGAAGAATCCATAAGCAAGAAGTGTCGTGTAGAAGAGATAATCAAGAAAAAATAGGCAGTATAAATTCACTATCATTAGTATAGAAACTTCATATATTACGAGCAAAGCTCTCGCATTTGTATATATTTATTTTTTTTTTTGTATTAATAAAAAATTTCTTGGCAAATTTCGCTGACCAATTGGTTAGAGAAATCTAAATGCAAAAATTAATAAAGTTCACCCAATAAGTGCTTGTATTTTTTAACTAATGTAACTATGTATCATCAAAAAATTTTTAAAACTTGCGTGCTTATAGAATAATAAACTGCATTATCGCATAAATATTGGTACCTATTCTAACCTCAAATCATACTTTCACCTCTTTTTTTCAGTATTTAGTATTATCCCACAATTCAAAAGCAATATAATCATAGCACTATTTTAACTTTTCTTGAGACATTTTGAATGTTTGCTGTAAAAGGAAAAAGCAGAAAAATATATAAAGAGATACTGTATATCAGTAACAAAGGTTTGGTAAGGAAATAAAGAGGGTGAAGATTGATAAAATAAATTCAAAACAAAGGACAGATATGAATGTTAATCAAACTTACATAGATGATCATTTTAATAAAAGCAAAAAAAATTTAAAATTTAATAAGAGATATATATTTAATAAAATAATTATATAAAAATATTTAAGAATTAAAAAAAATAACTAATTTATAATTTTATTTCCAGCTACCATTGCTACCACCATATTCAGAATATGCGAAAATTCCTTAACCGTAGAAAATACCTATGAAAATTTTAGTTATATAGTCAATTCTCTTTAAGTGCATCCCTTTGGAACTATAATAAAAGTTTAAAGAATATGCATTTTAAGAGGGTATGCATTTAAAGAAAAAATTTCTATATGATTTCTATATGCTTAAGACTAGATGAGAGCATGCATTTAGAGAGAAAATATATAGTGTATGCATTTAGAGAGGTGTATTTAGAGAGAGTTTACTGTATATATTTCTCTATCTACCTCGTAATGATTAAATAATAATTCTTTTACAATCATTAAAACCTTATTAGAAATATGATAAAATATTAATCAACCAATGAAATTAAATTTACGTTTAACCAATAAGAATATTTTATCCAATTAAAATTTATTAATTAGATATATCGAACTGATTATTTAATTAATTTATCTTTTTTTTCTCTTGGTAATGTATTCTTTATCAGTATCTTCTTTGCTAAAAACCCGTAAGTTTTATTTTTGCCATTTTTATACACGCAAATTTGCGAATGCAGATTATTTAATTTCTGTTATTTTTATTAGGAATTGGACAACGTGTTGGTGTTATTACTTGTAAAACGATATGTGTTCCCACATTTAATCAAAAGGTACACCGAATTTACAGGCTTAATCTGTTATTTTTCAAATATTGATGAATTTTGATATTTAATATTAGCGATTTGCTCACGACCTTATCATAAGGAAAAAAACTGGGAAACCTATTATTAAATATGGTCCAGGAGGTCGGTATGTATTCAAATTATTTTATTTACCTTTGCTATAAAATTTGTGCTTTAACTAAAGATTTTTATACATAGTTCTTCGGTTAGTGGAAATATAGCAACTGTTTTTGGATGTACGGGATTTTTGGGTCGCTATGTGGTCAGTAAACTTGGTAAATCTTCAATTTATGCTTTTCTTGAATGTTATGATTATTATTCAAAAAAAAAAGGGGGAAAATTTTTTATGGATGTTTTAAAACTTTTAATTTCTATAATAGCCAAACATGGAACCCAAGTTGTTATACCTTATCGTGACGAAGATTCGAAAAGACATTTAAAAGTTACAGGAGATTTAGGCCAAATCGTTTCCATGGTAAATAATTAATCAGAATCTGATTATTATTTTTAGAAAGAAATGTTTATCATTTTTTATTTTAATAGGAATTTGATCTTCGTAATGAACAAAATATTATTGAAGCGGTTAGACATTCTGATATCGTTTATAATTTGATAGGAAGAGATTATGAAACAAAGTAATTATTGAATTTTTTAAATAAACTAGTTTTCTTTAAAAAAAGGGGGCGAAAAAAAATTTAATAATGGTTTGATTCGTTTCAAGGAACTTTACATTTGAGAAAGTTCATATAGAAGGAGCAGAAAGAATTGCAAAAATTTGTAAAGAACTTGGAGTATCAAGATTAGTTCATATGTCGGCTTTAAATGCTGATGTTAACTCTCCATCAAAATTTTTACAATCAAAGGTAAAGAATATGGATAATCTGGTCGTTTGTGAATTATTTTAATAAAAGCAATTTTTTTTTTTTGTTATAGGCTTTGGGAGAAAGAGTTGTTAAAGAACAATTTCCTGACGTAACTATAGTCCGTCCTGGATATATATATGGTCCTGAGGATAGATTTTTGAATAGATTGTCAGGTTGGTGATAATTCATTATTTAAGCTTAATAATATTGATTAATATTGGAATTTGAAATTCATATAATATTTTTAGTGTTTTCTTATGAATTAATGGTTAACCACGGAGAAACGTTAATTAGGCCAGTTAATGTATGTAAATAAATAAATAAAGGTTTAAGTTAAATTATATATAACTAAATGACTTCTTACATTATAGGTACTAGATGTAGCAACAGCATTAGAAATTATGTTAAAAGATGAAACAACAATTTCTTCAACATATGAATTATATGGAACAAAAGCATTTAGTATTGAAGAAATTTATGACATAATAGATGATCTTATGTTAAGAAAACGCACAAGATTTAACGTACCCAAACCAATTGCATTGGCTATTACAAAATTATTAAGTTATTTACCTTGGCCGTATGTAACACCCGAAGATATTGAGAGATATTGTATAAGTGATAAACCTGGTAAAGGAGTAACGGGCGAAGTAGTAAAAACTTTTAGTGATTTGGGTATTCAACCTCTTGAATTTCAAGATACTGCTATTCAAGTCGTTAGAAGGTATAGGAGTAATATTAATTTTAATCAACCTATGGATAAAAATGTTGGTAGGGTTAAAAAAGGTATTTATTACGTTGATTACTAGATGAATGAAGTTGAAAGAGAAAAAATGATTGTATCAACAATATAAAGAAAGGATTTAAATTAATTTATTAATATATAAAATTGTGTAAAATAAATTTTAAAAATTTTTTTTTTTACAAAAAAACTAATATATAATTTGATTTCTTTTTGATCATGCTTAGAGTTTTTGGTACATTAGAAACATGTTTAATGATTTATAAATAGAATAACTATTTACAATATTAACATCATCTTTTTGCTATTTATTGTTTGAAAAATGATTTCCATGATTTTGTTTTGCTCTAAGTAATGACTTCAGGTTTAAATTGAGACTAAAAAAAATAATAACCTTATTAAAGAAATGTTATTTTCGAGAAGATTTATTAAAAAATTATGTTAAACTATCCAAACTAATCAAATTTGATTTATCAATATAGGCAATTTTTGTCGGAATAACTATTAATTATTATTATAAGTAGTAATTTCGGTGATATTTTACCGAATGCATTAAAGAATTTCTGATATCAAATGTCTGAAAACCTAATGTTTATAAAACACAAATATTTATCATAACTGCCTTAAATTTGTTTTTCCTTCCCTTTTGATACCTTTTTTTGAACCTCAACATTATTTATATTATGTTTAACATGATCCAACAATTCTCTTATATCAGAGAAATATTTCAACATAAATGGACCATTAGCTGGAAGTACCTTATCGGAATGTATTAATATCAACTAAATAAAAAATGATGATAATTAATAATAATAGTATTATATATGAAAAATTCTATAAATGTTTTAATAACCATTCTTACTTCCAAGAATTTTTTACTGCTCTCCTGATGATCAAATATACCAATAAAATCACTAAGCTTTATAAAAATCATTATTTAAATCAGATTGTTAAGCAACGACATTAAGAAAATTTGTCATACGCATAAATTCATTTACATACCCTATCATGAAATTTGTTTATATTACCACCATTGTTAATATAATCACTGATATATTTCAATTTTTCTCTATCTAACCTTGACATTTTGACTTGGCGCCAAAGTTCTTCGAAATCATCAAGTTTTTCGTCAGATTCGAGGTAAGTTCTTTTAGGAATGATTGACGCTGAACCGTCTTTTCCCTAATTAAAGTAGGTTGAATTTTAGTATCATATCATTTATTCTCAAAATTATACGGACCTCAAACATGAAATTTAAAGCAAATATAAACCTTTTTACGACGCAACCTTATCCACCGTCTTCGGCGAACAAAGGAGCGTAGTGGCTGATAACACCCTATAAAAAAATATTTTTATATAATATTAGTAAAAGTTGATTAATTAAAGAGATCATTTAAGACAACTTACCATGCCAAGAAGAACTATGAAAATTAAAAGCATATTCCCATCCCTCTAAAAAAATTTAAGAAAATAATATTATCACAAAAAAGAAAATGAAGAAATTTTTTTTTCAAAAAAAAAGGTGTGTACCTTCATCAACGTCACCAGACATATCAATCAACCATTCTTTGTGAACCTATATGAAAAGGAAAGTATATTGATTCTGATATAAAATCAAAGAATAATATAGAAATCACTTAATACAACGCACCCACCCACTCCCAAGTTGGATCTGGCAACTGAAAATTATAAATATCCATTGGTGAATATCTAGCAACATCAAAAAAAACTAGATTAGCTAAAAGAAGTATTTCGAAAAAAGTTCATATGCTACTATATTCTGGGAAGTGTAAGCTGCAATGCGAGATTTGATTTTGATCATAAGTACTTTTGATTTCTATCAGTCCATGAGTTTGGATCAACTTGATTCAAAGCTTTAGAACTAAATTTTGGTAAGCCAAATAAGAATAGTCTATGATTTAAAAAATATGTTAATAAAAAAAAAAAAAAAAAAAGAAAAAGACATTGTGATATTATGGTAGTGAGTATGATTACCCTCTTTGATTCTCATAAAGAATATCATAAGCATGCTCATTAGTCTTGGTTGTATGTTCGTTTATAATTCCATCGTTCTATAAGGAGAAAATCAAGTTATCCTCATCTCTAAAGTACTTTACCTGTCAAAAGCAAATAAATACATACCCCTTGTTCTCTTATAATCTTGATAGAGTTAAATTTCTTCAATTTTTTCGATCTATCCAGGTCAATGCCTAGAAACGTAGAAGTACGTTTTTCGTCAGTTTCCATGTTTTGAAAAGAAAGTTTGAATGAGGCCTAATATAGACAATTTAATAGTAAACCTTAAATTAAAGCATGTATTATAATATGATGTAATTTTTGCACGTACATCAATTCTGCAGTAATTAAATTTAACTTAGCTTTTTATAGAAATTCATTCAAATAGTATAAATAATGATCATTTTTGATATTCGAAAATTTTATTTTAATTATGAGTTCAGGTCCTCCGCCTTCAGAACCGCACACTTCGTTACTAGTTTCTCCGTCTTCAAAAGATAAATATGTCAAAAATTCAACATCATCGATTGTTTTTCCTACAAAATCTAGTCGTCTACGGTTCGCATTACATAGGATAAGAAAAATGTTAAAGCGTATACCCTTTGAAAAACGACGAATGAAGTTACTAACGTTTATTACATTGGTGATTGTATCTACGGTATTTATAAAGGGGATATTAATGATTTCTTCTTTTGTAACGTCATGGATTGATGATGCTCCCACTCTTACATTCGGTAAGTTAGCTACATGTACATTTAGAATAAAAAAAAAATAACGTTGTGATATCCTAATTTTTCTTTTTTTTTTTTCACGTGAAACAGAAAAACAAAACTATTCACCGGTTAAATATTTAGGAATAGGTCCGAACATATCAACAAGGTTACCAAAAGGGGTTACAATTTATCACATCACCAAAGAATTTGGAGCAGCAACGTTAGGAGGATTGGGAGAATTAGTGACGGGGTTATCTCAAGCACAATCAAAAAATTCATCATTAAACGTCAATGTAATTATGCCATATTACTCATATTTAAGTAAATTATATAGACCTCATAAATACGCACATTTATCCATAAAAATTCGCGATAAAAGCGGTAAATGGAAGAATGTAGGATTTTTGGTTTATCGTACTTTGTGGAATACTTCAAAGAATAATATTTTAACGAGTAATTCCGAGATACCATCGGGTATTCTTAGTGTATTTATGATCGGACCAGCATCAAATATGATACCATTAAATACGGCATTTAAAGCGTCAAGTATAGCAAAGATCAAAAATTTAAATTCAAAATTACTACCTGAATGGAAAGATTTGTACTTTTGCAAAGCTGCCGCTGAGCTCATTGCGTATAGAAATACAATAATTGACACTTCGTTATTTGCCATACATGAAACAAGAGGTGTGGATGTTGTACACGTTCATGGTTCAACCAACGCATTTATGATTGAATTTCTTGAAAATATTAATCATGGTAAAAAATTTGGAAAGAAAATTCCCGCTGTAGTTTACACGATACATGATTATTTAGAGGAACAGATTTATTCAAATGATCTCACGAATATTCAAAAATTTCTTGATGTTGACGTATTCCAAGTAGGGAAACCTCAATATTTTCATAATGATCGAATGTACATGTCAGGCTATGCGATTGATAACGCGCAAATGGTGACTTTTGTATCAAAAGATTTGGCAAGGGAAATGGTTGAAGGACCAATGGATTTTCATCTTAAAGAATTAATTATACCAAATATTTTGAATAAAGCGAAATTAGGTCAATGGGTTGGTATAACGAGTGGGATTGATTTTATTTCCTATAATCCATTTAATAATTCAATGTTAATGGAAAGTAACGCAAATTTTCCTAACAATTTCGATGATTTTGATCCAGTTTTATTATACGCAGAGTCAATTGAAGGATCATCACAAGAATTAGTTACAGTTTCGAAGCAAAGTGCAAAAGCGTACCTAGTAAGAGAAGGCTTGTTGACCCGAGAAGATTTAAATAGACCTTTAGTATTATACGTTGGTGAATTGGAATATAATAAAGGGTTACAATTCTTTAAAGCCGCAGCCGACTTCTTTGTGGAAATGGATGCAAAATTTATCATCATGGGAAAGAATAGTAATTATCCTTTAGAAATCTTAAATAAATTATCCGAAAACGCACCTAATCATGTTATCATAATAAATAATTTGGAATTTCAAAAAGAGTGGGGTATATTGTATAGGGTTGCTTCTGATATCTTTTTTATGCCAAGTTTCATGGAAAGTTTTGGTTTATTTGCCGCAGAAGGGTTATTGTTTGGTACGCCTGTGGTTAGCAATTGTGTTGGTGATTTAAAAGAATTTTTAGTTAATAAAGCTAAAGACGATGATAATTTTAAAATTGATTATAACTCTTATCTATTTGAATTGGTTGATAATCAAATGATTGGTTTGTCGATAGACAATATGAAGTTGGCTTTATTAGAAGCAATTAATGATTGGAAAAGGATGAGCAAAGACATCAGAGTAAAAGAAATCTTCTTGAGAAAATTAATTAAAGATGCTTTTAAACTAAGTTGGAATCGTTTTGAAGGTCCTGTTGAACAATATTTAAAAGTTTATAGAAAAGCAATGTTGCAGGTTCGAGATAAATTAGAAGAGGGATTAAATGATTGAAAGAACATTAAGTTACGAATAAGGTGTCCAGAATTTGTTGGCGTGATGGCCTAAAAATCTTGGTGTAAAGATCGTGAAAATCGTAAAAATCGTGATCATAATTTCGGCTAAAAATTTCTTAAAAGTATGTAGATTTCAATAGACCGCATATAATTTTATTTATCTATATAATTTAATACTACATAAACATCAGTACGATTACCAAGACTAAAATAAAGAAAATTAAGTATTTGAATACTCTCTTCTTTAAGCATCACTCTTCTATCTGATAAAATACTTTTATAACTAGAAAAATTATGCTCAATATCTACAGATACTGGTAACAATATATATATTAAAGCCAATAAACCTAAGTTTTGGTAATACATATGTTTTATCCTGCCAATATATATTAAATCTTTAAATTCTTCAATAGATTCATTAAGTTTACAGCAAATAACCCATTCTTGTATCAGTAGGAGAATGAAATTCTTTAATAATTCCAAAATTTTCCATATTATGATTAGCTGTATTATATTGAATAAATCTTGAATCAAAACATTGTATTACTTTAAATAATAATAACGTTGAATGATAAAATATATATTTTTCATATTTTTCATATATCAATATAAAAGCTTTAGAAAATAATGAAATAAATTGCCTAAAATCCTAATTTGCTTCATTTAAAATTTGAAATATTTTATTTAAATCAGAGAATTTCATATTTCTGATGAAAGAAAAGCTTAAAAAGCTATTATTCAATAATAAACAAATAGAATTATAGCTTTATTTCTTATTTTAAAGAATTTCAAATCATTAATTAATCTAAATAAAAATAAAGCATTAATATAATTATTACAAAATTAATAAATTCATAAATATAAAATTACTTACTGATTGTAATTATATGTAATAAAATAGATGAATATTTTAACATATAAACTATAATTTCTATTTTAATAAAAGTTATAAAGTATTTAAATAGATTCTAAATTATGATTAATAAAATATTCTGCAATAATAAAAGTAATTAAGCAAGAATATAAGAGATTGATCTAATATAAAATAAAACTATAAATTTTATCATATCTTTATAAGTAGATGTATTAAATTAGGTGATTCAACTTTTCTATATAATAAATACTCCTTTCACTAAATTTTTCTTTATAAATTATAAATAAAATATTGGTTTGAATTTTATAATTAGTTTATCAATTAAATTAAATTTTTGGAAGTTTAATTATGTTTTGACAATTAAATTGAGGATATATGTTAAACAATAATTGTATTTTAAGTTGATAAAAAAAAAGATAAATAGAAATATGTTAATTTTATATACAAATATTATTAGATATAAAAAAAAATAATATTTTAATAAGAAATATTATAAAAATAAATATTATTTATAATAAATTATAAAATAAATAAAGCATTACTATTGGATAAAAACTTAGTTTTAGTTAATTTAGTTTGATTATCAAAATAAATATGAGATTAACAGTATATTATCACTGTAAAATTTTTTAACTCAGGTTAATTATGTTCTTAAGTTTCTACTTGAAGTTCCTATCTATAGTTTACTATAGTTAAGACATTAGGATCTGCCTAACTCTTAACTTTATTAAATCTACGCATTTAAACTTAAACAAATCTATCAAGTATAAAGACTTGAAAGACGAGATTACAAATAATTTAGTTAAAAAATTCAAATGACAAACTCAATTATAAATAATATGTAAAGATCATGTTAGACTATATAATATTGAAACTTGTATTTACAAAAGAGTTTGTAAATCTGTAAAAGAGTTAATTTATAATATAAGCAAAAAGTCTATCTATTTATACAAAATTTCCTTTATTTTAATTAACTATTTATTATACTATAAACTAACTAATTTAATAAATAAAATATAAGTAAAATAAATATATATAAAATAATAAAAATATAAAATATAATAAATAATAATAAAAAGTAAAATA